TCCACCCATGGGATATATAATTTATTCAGCCATTCCCTTGCTGGTAAACAACCCATTTATTCTAATTTTTGCAAGAATGCCATAGTAAAATTGTTTGTACATGTACGTTTAAGATCAAGCAATTTTATTTCCATAGGATGTAGTCTCAAAAGCAGACTTTTTGAGTTAAAGAGTACTTTTAATCTTAATAGAAAACTGCTTTCAAGTAAGTACTAAAGCAGCGTAACAGAAGGCAAAGAAAAAACTGATAGAATAAAGCAAGAATGAATTCACATAGCAGGCTCACAGAATCAACTACTTTTTAAGAGAACAATGATTTTTGATTTATTCCCCAGATTTCAATACCAATGACCTATATTCCAACTCCTCATCGCAAACTTGCAGTGTGATATAAAAGAGAATCAACGGATAATAACAAATTCTGGTGAGGCTATGCAGAAATTAGACCCCTCACACACTGCTGGTGGGAATGTAAAATGGTGCAGCCACTGTGGAAAACAGGCTGGTAGTTCCTCAAGAGGTTAAACATAGAGTCCCTATATGACCCAGCAATGCCTTTCATAAGGATATACTCAAGAGAAATAAAAACATGTGTCTATGTAAAAACTTGTACACAAATGTTCATAGCAGCATTTCATAATAGGCAAAAAGTGGGAACAACTCAAATGGCCATTAAGTGATGACTGGATAAATAAAATGTGGTCTGTTCATACAATGGAATGTTATTCAGCCATAAAATGGAAGGAAGTACTGATACGTGCTGCAGTATGGATGAACCTTGAAATCCCTATGCTGATGAAAGAAGCCAGACACAAAAGGACGTGTATTCTAGGATCTCTTTTCTTTGAAAAGTCCAGAATAGGCAAATCTATAGAGACAGGAAGTAGATTAGTGGTTGCCTAGGGCTATGGCGGGAGGCAGAATAAGAGGAGAAATGGGAAGTGACTGATAATTGGTGCAAAGTTTCTTTCGGGGGTGATAAAAAGGTTCTAAAATTGATTGTGGTGATAGTTGCACACCACAAGGTATATACTAAAAACCATTGAATTGTACACTTTAAATGGGTGCGTTGTATGCTTTGTGAATTATATATCAATAAAACTGTTTTTTCAAAAAGAACAAACAAGTGAGGGAGAAAGAAAAATCTAGACTGAGAAATCTGGACATGGGAAGGGAGAGAATACTGGACCACCCTCCCCCTGGGTGACGTAGTCACCCTTTGTCACTCAGAGACTGGTTCCTCATGTTGAGTCTTTTTCTTTTCAACTCACACAGAGATAGTCGATATCTTGCTTCTTGGTGAGCATGACTGTGCATTGCAGCTTTGAGAAATCCCTCCCTTCTCTAACTAGGTTCTAGACGCCATGTGAAAAAAAGACCAAATAGCTAACCTGTTTTTCCAATCCCCTTCTTTTTTAAAGAGGTAGATGTGCTGTGTGCTAACCTCACTCGAAGTATCTGTTCTAATGCAGTCCTTTTCACTCTGTCACATACCCTCACTCGTTTTTTAAAATGTGAACTTTTTAAATGCTACAACCTGCCTAGGTTGCGTTCATTCAGTTTTCTTTTATAGATTTTTCAAATTTATGGGTGTCATAAAACAAAAATGCCTAATCTAACCCAAGCTAACCCTGCCTTTTAATCACAATGAATTTCATCCTCAGGTATACTTTATTCTTGCTACAATTTATTGTTTTGGTACTGTTTCAAATTGTAATGGGAAATGCTGTTGATGCCCTGCTGAGAAAGGTTACCAAAATTCAGTGCACAGGAGGTAAATACTTATTTCACCAGTCTCAGCCAAACAGAATTAATATGAGGATTTTAAAGGGCAAAGAAAGAAATTAAAGTAATGGTGTTGGAATCATTGCAAGGAACACAATGTGAAGAAACTATGGAAAATAAGAATCTGTGTAGCTTTATCTCTTTCATGTTACTTGAAGCCAAAGTTGCCTTTAGGCAAGAAGGTCAAGTTTTTAGCCTGGTTCCAGAAGCATCTTTGCTGCCTTTTTTCTGCCTTTTTCTTCCCACTTCTCTACATTGCCTTAAAGCCCTCACACCTACCCCCTAAAAGCCCACCCTGCCCAACCCCCCACCTCCATGATAACTCAGCCAACAGTCCCTTCTCCCAGTCAGGGACCTTTCTTCTGTCCATCTTCCCTCTGTTTGTCAAAATTGAGTATCTTTTCCATAAGTATACCCCATCTTGCTAGACATTGCTAGATTGTGAGGAATAATCTAATAGACTAATTTATTCTAGTTTAGGATTGTTGGCATTAGAACGAGGGATCCTACAAGCAAGAATCCTTAACTAAAGAGGAGAACTGACAACAACAGAATTTGAAGCCCAGAGGCAGGTCTAGGGTAGAGAAATTTTTGAATGAAGGAAAAATACAGATCCACTTTGGTGGTGCTGTGGCCATTCTAAAATTATTTGAAAATGTTCCTCTCCCCACTCTCAAATTATCCAGCTCTCTAGATTATTAATTACATTTGTCAAGTGTTTATTTTGTTAAGCCATTTTTCATTTAGCCTTTCTTTATGCCGGTCACACTTACATAAAGCAGCTCTTAAACCGATTCATGATAGTCCTGAAAGATGAAAAAACAGAATGGTAAAGTGACTTGAACAGAGCTAGTACGTGGTTTTAACTTAGGTCCATCAGAGGTCAAGTTTAGCGTTCTTTCCTGGAGGAAACAAAAGCAACCTTTTAATTCAGTACGGAAATCTACCCGCGGTCCTCCACTTGTGCTTGCTTTCCATTGCATTTCAGAAATAGCCCTTAAGAGTTTTGAATTATTGTGAGACAATGATTTCACGGCGTCAGAGGTTTAAGGAGTTTGGGATACACGTATCAATTCAGTGAATATTGATTTGCAAAGTGAACTGTGTTTACATACCTGGATACCAAATAATAAAGATGGCAGTTTTCTGCCGTCTTTCACCTCAAAGATGTTCGCATCGAGGTGGCAACAGTATGAAAAGTCAATAACGTGGAAAATGTTTCCAGTTACATTTCAGAGATTAGAAAGGGAGTTCTTACTATCTTTTAACGTCTCTCTTATTTTTATTCTCCAATGTGGGCACCTCCCAAAATAGAAGAAAGATGCAGAGGATCTTATCATTCATTTTCACCTTTTAAAAATTATTTTATATTCTTATTTTGAAAAATCAGCATGTTTGATGGTAATATTTAACTGTTTTACACCCTTTTTTCCCCTTTCTATTTTAAATGTGATATAAAAATAACAATACGTAAGCTCTTCCACTGCTATTCCTTTAACTGCCCATGACATTGCCTTTTTTCCTGGATTTCTTACCTTCTCAAGTTTGCCCTCTTTCTCACTGTTCAATGAGCTCTTTCTTCCTTTTTATCTCTTCTTTTTTTTTTCTTTTTTTTGAGCTACTTCCTTTTCTTTTTTTTCTTGACATACTTTTTGGTTCAGATACTTATTCACATCTCTCTGATAAGCACAGTTTGATTTGTAGCTAATTGTAGGAACAGATTTTCATTCTTTATGAGTGTCATTGTCAGGATCCATTTGGAAGTCTGACCAGATAAAGCTGATTCCAACTTCTGATATGACCACAGCAATAAAGCAATTAACCAAACCAGTTAAAATGTGCAGAGGCCTCGAGGGTGCTAATATCTTTACTGCCAAATATTTACTATATTGTGCCTTATGTTTGACTCATTTTCTAGAAGACTCAACATGTTATTATCCCAAATAATTTATAAAACCCTCTTTTAAAAAATATGATGTATGTCATTTCTCATACCAGCCAATTAACTTTGAAACGTTCATAGATTTAGAGATAGAAGTAAAACAATGAAAACTATGAATAATATAAATGCTTAATATTCTTACAAGGTTGGTATTATGTGGTAGCATTTGAATCACTGTTTGTATACTATTAATCTTTGCATGTATTTTGATTCTGGTTGGTCCATAAATCTCAGACTCCACCATGCCAACAAGAGGCAAGAAATGGAAGAGCCATATATATAAATATACATCCTACAAGCATACATTTTTCTCTCTCTTCTCACTCATAGTATCATAAAACATATGTGAAATTTCAGGAATAAATACAGGATTGGAAAAGTCATTAATAACAGCAGTCATTTTAAAGTGTCACCTAATTTAAACACTTTTGCTTTAAGTTATTGCGGTGTCATGAGTTTTATTATGCTCAATTTATTAGTAAAGGCCTGTAGAGTTCACAGCCATTTATTTGTCAGAGAACTTGATTTTATCATTAATTTTTAAATACATAATACTCCCACTTTATTTTTAGAGTGCACTTTATTTGCAAAAATGGATTTGCTCTGATCAATACAGATGTTTCCAGGTGTTTATTAAGGCAAACAATCTAGAAAGTCAGAGGTCTGCAAATTTTCAAGATTATACTCCAAAGTTACACTCCAGAGTTTAGTGTGTTATACACACACACACACACACACACAATGCATGTTTATATTGGTTGTTGAGTTAAGGTGGGAAGATAACAAGTAACTTATTCTTGAGGGAAATATTTTCTGTTCCAAAGAAGTGACATCTTGGTGCAAAATCCTATCCCTTAGGACTCGAGCCAGGACACAGGAAATAATCTGACGATGTCTATTGCTTCACAAGTCTGCTAAACAAAATTCTATCGCTGATAGCTAACCCTTTCTCTGGGTTGAGTTTTCATGGTCTGTGCTGTTTTACTTGCCCGTCTCTCTGGAAGGTGCTTCTGGGCTTAAATAATTGACAAAGGAGCTCAAAGCTGGGGTGTGTGGCAAGTCAATGGAGGAGCCCCACCCCCGCTCCCATAATTGCGTCCATTTGACCGTGTGCCCTACGATGCTAATGTAAACACCTGGTGCTGATAGCTGAAAAACCTGAATTCTTGAGTATTTATTTTAGGAAGATTTTCTTTAAAAAATAAAAGAAGAAAAGAAAAACTAAAGCTAAACATATACTCACTAGCTGTTATCTCTTTTTCCCCCTAATTAGGACAGAATTTTACCCTAAGGCAGTTAGGAGTTTGTGAACCAGCAACTCGAAGAGGACTGGCATTTTGTGCGGAAATGGGGCTCCCTCACAGAGGTTACTCTATCAGTGCAGGGTCAGATGCTGATACTGAAAATGAAGCAGTGATGTCCCCAGAGCATGCCATGAGACTTTGGGGCAGGGGGGTCAAGTCAGGCCGCAGCTCCTGCCTGTCAAGTCGGTCCAACTCAGCCCTCACCCTGACAGATACGGAGCACGAAAACAAGTCGGACAGTGAGAGCGGTAAGTTTCATTTTTTGCTTTATAATGGTGTTCAGTGCTTCTGTCTGTTTTGATTGACTATGCGGGCATGTTTTTCTTCCTATCTTCCTTCCTCCTCTCCTTCTTTCTCTTTCTTTCTTCTTCCTTTCTTTTTGTTTAACGCAGTAGAATTCAAGAAATGTCCTTGAATAATGCTTTCCTTTTTCCTGGAAAAAAATCAATTTTTGACATCAGATTGTTGTTAAATTATGCAAGTGGTCTATGATGTGTTAGCTATAGTTTTGAAAAACAGTTTAATCATGTACAGGAAAAAAAAACAGATCAGCTTTGACTTATCTTGGACCATGTCACCTGTTATCCTCGGTGGAGTTGCAAAGCTCGCGGTGATGAAGTTTACCCCAGAGCCAGTTTGCAATCAAAGATGTCTTTGTAGATTCCTCTTGAAGATATCTCAAAGAAGCTGCAGAATCTTAGAATGGATGAGTGAGCACACAGAATAGTTTATTAACAGGGCTCAAGTGATTGAAGAACAAATTTGATCATGCTTTAAACTTACCAGTTGATGAGAGCAATTGAAAGCTTGGTAAAGAGGGGGAGTTGGGACTTTGATGTGTTTTCTGGATTGGATTACTATGCAATTAAATTCAAGCACAAAAATTGGATTTTAGGATATCCAAATAGCAGCTTTACATATTGAAGAAAAATGTCTTTATAAATTCTTGGGACTTTTTCTCCTATTACTAATGCAGGATAATAAAAACAGTTAATTTATATGCAATAAGATATTTAAAAGAAAACTTAATTTTTAGTCAATGCTGCTTCTAAGAAGAATTGGAGCATCAGCATAGATGCACCAGACACCAAAAAGACATTTCTCCTTCAGCATTTAATATTAACAGTGCACTTGCCACTTCAATCTAGTTATTAATGCTATGTGTGTGTGATGCATCAAGGAGCAAAGAGAAAATTAAAATGGAAGATTTGCATGACATTTGGAAAGAAAAATGGTTGTTTTACCAACGATGTTTCATTTTTATAATTTATTGAGCAACTTTGTCAGCATGGCTCTGTAATAGGAAAGCAGGTCTATTGTCAGCTTTCAGTTTCAGCTAAGTCACAGTAGGAGGTGGTACCTAGTGCTTCCCACGGCTTATTACTAGATTCCTTTCTATTCATGAAAAAACAAAAAAGACTAATTTAAACCAACTGAAACAACACCTTATCTTCTGTAGATTACATTAGTGCATTAAACCAAAGTCAAGATCAGTTAATAATAAGCACTCGATATTTCATTTTGGACATGTCACTTCTTGGTGGAGGCTGGCTTTATTCCAACCCAAAAGAGGAAACAAGGGCAGTTCCTTCTGACAAAATGAGTTTTAGAATCAGGCTGCCAACATTTCCTGAGCTAATCCATTCACCTCCATAAAACCTGTGTTTATATCAGTTTTCAGTGTGGATTCAGAAGTCCCTAACTTTAAATACATAAAACTTAGCATAAACTTTGTTTCTCATCCATTGGCATCTTTGACAGCAGGTACAATGGTTATGTTGAAATGTAGCATTTGGCATTTGATTTTCTGAAAATGTGTGATAAAATTTATGCTGGTATAGAAAAGAGAAGAGTAGAATGCGGCAGAATAATGCATTCAGGTCTGATTATCTGCATTGTACATCGTCCATAGCCATATCTCTTAAATATTTTTTCACATCAGAGCATCTTGCCCTTTCCACCCACAACCTTTGTAGCATCTCTTTCTCTCTCTAATAACAAGTGTATCTTGTTATTGTATCTGTATTGGTAAAATATGAACTAATTTTATTATTTTTTAAATTGTACATCTGCTAAAACTGTCTCACGGTGAATTCCCAAATATATGCCACTTTTTTCTTTTCAGAAAATATAAAACTACAAACTTTGCAACATTTAGTTAACAGTATAAAATATCCAAATGATTGGGAGGAGAGGAGGAAGACCCCTGAGTTGCTCACCCCCTGGCCCTCTCCATCTGCATGGATTATTAGTAACTAGAGGAGGATCTCCTTTCCCCAGGATTCTCCTACGCCCCGTTCTTAGAGTGATGGAAAGGCAAGAAAAGACGCTCTCTTTCATTTCTCCAAGTGGTTGTCATGAAGCAGAGTGAAGAGAGAGAAGAAAAGAGCGTCCAGGGCTTTGCTTTGAAATTCAGAACATTTGGTAGCATTTGTTGAGAGTAAACAGGTCAGCCAAGTTAAGAGTGTAAAGTGTCAAAAACAATGTTTGTTGAGCTGGGCAAGTGATGACTTCAACTTGTGTTTCCTCTTTCCCCGAGGTTTGGCTGTGGTTGTTTTCTTAAACAACATTTTGATGGTCGAAGAACTCCCATTGAGGTCACTTTAAGGAAGAAAACAAAAGAGAGAATAAAATAGATATGACCTCATACTGAATACTGGCTATTGCATAGAGTTAATATGTGTGACCATAGGAACGTTTCCCGTTAACTTATTTGTTCTGAATTTTCAGTGATTAGTCAGACGGAGCAAGATTCCATTTAAAGTAATGAATTGCATTAAGATCTAGCGTGGAAGCATAAGTTTCTGAGCTATTTAGCAGACCTTATAATTTTGAATTGTGGAATTAGAGTATCAAGGATTTTTTTCGCATATATAAAATTTTATCTTAAGCTGGGTTATAGTAAAAACTAAAATTTATAATTGTACACATGGTCTTTTAACACTTTTATAAACAATATCCTCAAAACTATTACATGTTTACACTATTATTACTACTTCTGGTCAAATATTTCTAATGTAAAATCACTAAAATAACTCGATTTTACCTTCTTTGGATATTTTTAATTGCTCTAACTTTGAAAAACTATTGATTTTCCAGTAATATTTTCCTTTGACTTTCAATTATTCTAATTGTCTAATTTTGTTCATTCGTGTACTAGTTTGAAATGTGCCCTTGGATGTTCTATTGTATCACTATAGGTCGAAACAAGAAGGACATGTGTAAAATAACTCACCAAAATGAAACTAATTTAGGAACCAGACACTGACTTGTTTTCATCTGGTTGAGCATGGGAATTTTCGTTGACTGTTTTCATCATTTGAAATAACTGTGAATAAGGCTGTTTTCCCCAGAAAACATTCAACATTTGTAAAATTATGCAAGCTGAGTGCCTGATGGTCTAGTTATAACTTCAAAGAAGAGTTTAGACGCTAAAAGGAATTAGATTTCATTTATTTATTGATAAAGAGGCCAACAGTTCAAGTTAAGAAGGCGCTAGAACTGCTGTGAGGCTAATGAAATTTTGATGGCCCGTGCCTCCCGCGAGAGTAAAAGAACATTCGGACCATGTCACACGTCTCCATGTTAGCAGAGATTCAAAACAAGTGATAAAATTTATTCTTTTGCAAAACTAACTCTTCACCAACCAGGGGAATTTGAAGTTAAAAAGCATTTTGAGGAAAAAAATTTTTTACAGTGTATTGAGTTTCATATGGAATTCCAAATGTTAATCTTGTCCCAAGTTAAGAGTATGCGAGAAGTCCTTGCTTTTGACACGCATTGATTGCTGTGGTTGTCTTCCTGGTTCTAAGTCAACTGCCGTGCGCCAGGGCAAATACCGGAGGGGCGGTGGCTTGTGGCCACCTCAGAGCAGCAGTCCTAGTAAGCTGTTAAGAAGTTAGAAAATAAATGTGATGAGATGCCCTAATCAAAGGTAAAATTACCAGCGTGCTCTGGATTGTCTTAGGCGATGCTCCTGTCTCTGATGTATTGTTAAAAGACACCTGACTGCATTCCCGCTCTCCAGCTTTGCAAGTAATCTGATCTCAATTCCAAATATCTATTTAAATGTCAGGAACAAAGGAATTTTTTATCAAAACATCAACCTTTAAGCTTTAAACATGTTTGCTTGTGCATCTTTTCCCAGAAGAAGCCAAGCGTCTATTATCCTTTGTCATCCAGCAGTGTGGTCTCACGAAAGATGTCTGGATTCAGAATCACACCAGTCAGGGTTTGAATCCTCTCATTCAACCCCCGCGACTGTTTGCTCCTGGGTCACCCAAAGCTTGGGTTCCCAACTTTTTCATCTCTGCCTGCTTCTTTGTCAGTTGTACTGCTAGTTCTGGAGACGTGGTGCCCTCCTATGGAAGGTCCTCATCTTGCTCCTTCTCCCTGTCTCCGTGACCTCTTGGGCCCCTTGGAAAGCGATGACCTTTGACATTAGACCAGGAGGAGTTGGCACTCCTCTTCTACCTCATCGTGATTTGGGACCTCGAGAGCCAATATTGAGGACAATAGTAGAGAATCTGTTGTTGGGGGGCACACCACCTGAGCTTGAATTGGCTCCCCTACCTCCCAGTGGCGTGACCTTGGCCAAGCTACTTAACATTCCTGGGCTTCAGTCTCAGGGGTAAAATAGAGAAAATAGTAAATAGTATATAGTCCTTATAGGATTGTATATAAATGAGGATTAAGTGAGTTCAGTCATATAATGTGCTTAGAACAGTGCCTGGCATCTAGTGAGTTCCAAATAAGTGTGTGTCCCTTCCTTCTCCCTTCCTCCTCGTACTCTCCCTCTCTGTTAGTCAAGCGTTAGCTTATTTGGCAAGATGAGAGAGAACCAGTGGTCTCCTCCAGGAAAGACACTGATAATTTGCATAGTCTGGAATTTCTGTCACCATTTATTGACTCTTTTATTTTTCTCCAAAATTCCACATCCTTTTTAATTTATTATAATTAAATGAATGTACATTGAATGGTGCTGATAATTAGTTTGATGACTGTGGACTTCAAAGACTTAAGTATGCTCCTTCCCCTCCTGGCCAACGGAAATTTCAAAAGTAGTGTTTTCCTCAAAGGCATGTTACTTAGGCAGCCAGTCAATTAAAAGGCAATTTAACTGATGCTCGTCAGTTCACACAATAAAATAAATCATTCCTGGAAGACTTTATTTCTCACTTGGGGTCTTAGCAATATACCTGTTGTAGGACTTCACGAATGCCACACTAATTGTGCATGATACTAAAGT